TGTCTATGAAATCTATGAAATCTGAGCTGAAAGTGCAATTTAAACAAAAAGGCAGAAAATACCAAAGTCTTCCATGCTAATGGATGCAACTTATTCTGTCTGCAGAGCTCCTCAATCCCCACCCCGTATCCAGGGAGCACACTCACCTGCATCTCTTCCACCCAAGACAGCAGCTCATATACAAATCGGAGGTTGCCTTCATCCTCAGAAGAGGAGATGGCTACCAGCTCTGTGCGGGTCATGGGCTTCCGGAACCAGGAGGCAGAAGACGTGTGCATTCCCTTCGTCAAGGACTCTGCCTTCAAGTGCGTTGTGCTCAGGGTGGAGGACTGCACTAGATCCAGTGACGAGAAATGGCCCTTCCTGTATAGGTTAGTACATTCCAGCCGCAGGGTGACCAGCTCGTCTTGCAAACGTATGATCCTAAAGTGAAGCAGGAAGGGGACAGGGAGGAGACTGATTAAAGATGTCTGGATTCTGGGAGAGACACCAGACATGCCCTGCCTGCTCTCTAAAACCATCTTATTTTTCTCCCTGGGTTGAGGGTTGGCATACAGTCACCCTTCTGCTAGGGAGGGCATCAAAAGCAGGGCACACACTCAACTAGTGCTGAAATCTTCCTGCTAAGTTTTTGATGGGTGTCTACAGACTAGCACCACTGTACCATTCTGCCCAGGCCCACAGGACTTTCTCAGCCACTCACCTGAAGACCAGTTCTTCCAGCTGGTAGTAACTCTCATCTCGCAGGATCTGTAAGTCCACCTGCAGATGATGGATAAGCCCTTCACACTCCTGCAGGTACATGACAACATCGGACTCATACTGCACTGGCTGACCGGACTCCAGGTGAGCGGCATCCTGCAGTGGGAGATACAAGAGTTATTACTGGTGCTCCTCACGCCCGCTGCACCAGGCCTCACAAGGCCAGAGGGCTCTACCCTGGCTCAGCATCCACAGTTTGCACACTGTGAAGCCAGAGAGGACAGTCATGAGCATGATACACACCATCTCCAAGGAGCCTCAGGTATTAACATGTGCTAAAGCCCATAATGTGTCTCGCTGAACAATGTCCAGTCACCACTTAAGAACTCCGGATATGGCAGAACCCACCCATCCTTGGGTAAGTGGGTGCGATGATTGAATCACCTTCACTATAAAATGTCCCTCTTATTTCTAACCTGAACATGCCTGGCTTGAGCTTCCAATGGCTGGACTGTCTTCTTCTGCCACATTACAGGGCCCTCAACGATCAGAAGGATGCAAGTTACTCCTTAATGTTCTCTTGGATGAACTAAACAGGCCGAGTTTTGCAAAACTCACTAGGCGGCAGGTTTTCCGGACCGCAGTAGCAATATTCTGACCTTTTGCCAATCTGTCAACATCTTTTTGGAAGCCGGGAAGAACTAAGCACTGGTTATCCAGCAGTGGTCTTTCTTTTGCTATACAGAGAAGTTATATCAGCTCCCTGATCACACAGCCAAGTCAGGTCATGTCTTAGCTCAAGTATCCTCCTGGGAGCTCCCACTCACTTGGGTATCCAGCAGCCTGACCCTAAGCTCAGCAGCACAAAGGAAAGCTTAGGAGGAAGGCAGGTCCCCAGGAAAGGGAAAACAGACACAAGGCACAACATGAAATCAGGAAAGAAGTGCTGACACTCACAGCTTGCAGCGTGTTCTTTGCCAGAGTGAGCTTTTCTTCACAGCTCAGAGCACCGTTCTGAATCTTGTTAGCGATTTGTAGCAGCAATTCCAGCCTGTGACAAAAGACAGGGGGAATCAGAGAAAAGCGCTCCTCAGACACCTCCAGCCATTGGGGCTGGGGTGAGAGGAAGGGGATGGAGAGAGAGACAGGGCGACTTCCCAAGCAGGGTGCCATGAGCTCCACGGGCCCCATCCCAGTTCAGCACCAACCTCTCCACTGCCGGCCGCAGAGACTTCTCACGCTCCAGCATCTCTATGATCAGCTTGCCCCACTCTTCCTCCACGTCATTGGGGTGGTAGCCCTGGGGCAACTTGATGCGGCCAAATTCAATCCATACCTTGAAGCACCGCAAGAGAACAGTCTTTCATCCCTTCTTCTCTCTGTGATCACAGCCACGCTTTTCCATTCCCCCTCCTGTGACAGGCCCTCCTACCTCTGAGGTGGATAAGGCTCCCCCAACCCCACGTGGGACTGGGATGTTTCCATCCACACCTCTATCCTCACATCACCCTCTCTGTACTGCACTGGGAAGGAGTGTAACTACTGGGATGCGTTCAGACACTACAGCCAGGAGGGAAGCCGTTGGATGTCTCAGTCCCCGTGGGTCCAGCACTGCTTGCATTGTGCTGTACCCTCAGGGTTATTTCTTTAACCCCAAACTGAATGCACAGCATGCCTTGCAAAAAGCATAATACTGCCAGCTACTCACACTGCTAAGGAGGCTCTTACCTCAAGTAGCTTATACAGCTCCTCTATCTGCCCTTTCTCTTGTTCTTTTGCCGGGATCTCCGTTTCTTTGAAGTGTATATACTGGTTATAAAGTGCCTGCAAGGGGACACAAAGCCACATCATCCTCCTGCCCTCCAGGCCACCTCTCTCCCACCAGCGTCTCCCCAGAGCTACTGTGCTCCAGAGGAACCTTGGTTAGCACTTGCCTTTAATTCTACAGGGTTCTGGGGGAAGGACTTGTCGGACATCAATATCGTGTGCTGCTTGATCCACGAGAGGAGGGAATCCACACGGTTCTGGTACTCCAGCCACCTGGAATCCACTTCCTGGGAGGAAGAGGGAGAGCCATGTAAAGGGTTCATCGGGGAAAACAGCAATACAACAAGGCAGCCCATCTCTTCCAAGCCTCCTGTGTTACTGGAGAACTAATGTAATCACAGATGCTCGAAATACTGGACCCTTGTGACTCGCAATGGCTGCGTCTTCCAAGGGTCAAATGCAAAAGGGGCCTGCTCTTGGGAGGCAGCTTCAAAGGGGCAGAAAGGAGCTCCTGCCTCCAGGTTACACCTGTGCTATGTCCCAACACCTCTCCCCAGTCTCTCTTGCATGACTATTCCAGGCTATTTCATCTGTGCAGCCCTCTCGTGCAGACAGCAGGGGAAGCCTCCAAACTCTCTGCCTGCAGGGTAGGACGAACTTCCCATATTCCCAGCAGCTGCATGGGGAAGCACAGACGAGCCCCACAAAAAACATGGGATCGGCAGGTGTGAAAAGCAGAGGCTCTTACAACAGCGCTGATCCCTTCTCCGCCTTCGGGGACCTTGGGAAAGGCATCATAGATTGAAGACACATAAGTGATCACAGACTTCTCATCGGGCGACGGGACATCCACATCTGGTGAAAGGGAACAAAGACATGGGAGCGGTTGGGGAGGGGCAAAGGGAAAGGTAGATTCTCTCCCCGGGCAGACACCAGAAAGTCATTTCGGCTAACCACACTCAGCCAGCTGCCACATCCTCTCACCTTCAGCATCCAGCAGCCGGGTGACTCCCAGCCTCTCTGCAATCTCAAAGGCCTGTTCCAGGTTCTCCCTGCTACTCTGGATCTGCACCCTCTCCATGTCCACCAGATCCGGCCTGAAAGACACAGAGCCCCCGTCAGGCTCCCTCCGAGGCATCGCATGGCTTGCTGTGCAGCTGAACACATGCATGGACAGACAGGCACAGAGGCCAAGCAACGGAGAAGCCCCTGGCTGCAGGTACCCTGAATGGGAGTGCCTGTCACCACTGAGTAGTCCCCTGAAGGGGGGCTGGATCCAGGATGGATTAGTTGCTCTCCCACCCCCTGGCTGATCTTGATCTGCCACAGAGCAGGTGGCTGGCTTCAACTGCTGGGTCAAGCAGGGAAGGAGGCAGGTGTTTTCCCTGAGGGGGCTGGAGATCTCAGTTGGGAGGGTACTGCAGAAGTCAGGTCATGTCCCGCGGCTCTCAAGGGACAGGCCCACGGGAGAGAGAAGCTCCCTGAAGCGGACCCATCTAAAGCAGACAGCACCGATGTCCAGAGCATCCCCCAGAGACTGGGGAAGAAGGGTCATCTGGGACGGGCAGAAGACTCTCTTTCTTGGGAACATTGTTTCAGGTCATTCCCAGCACTGCTGCCTCTCAGACCCCCCTGGGCAGAGGCTGAGGACAAGTCTGAGAGAAGGGTGATCTAGAGGGAAACCGAGGCAGGGCAAACCATACCAAAGCAGGCCACCAGGAGGGCAGTGCATTGGCAGACCCCTTCACAGTGCCCCACCAGGGTGGCACTGCTAGTGCAAACAGAACAGGGTGCACATGTGAGAATAAGGACCAGGAAATCTTCACATTCACACTCAAAAGCGGTGACATCCCAGCTAGCTCCCAGGACTCCTAGCCTAACGCACAGCCATCCCCTCGTCCACCGCTTAGGGAACATCTCAGTATGAGACTTTGGACTCCTTCCGCATGAGGCACGAGACGTGGCCGGAGAAGCCCAATTTCTGGTTTTAGTGTTCCCCCTCCGCCCCAAACCCTCATTAAACAAGTTGCTGCTTCTTGCACCGCTGCATGTTCTCAGCCTTCACCACCAGGCAGGGCCTTGAGCCAGCAAAGCAACACCTCCTGGCAGAGGAGATCTTAGGCTTCAAAGTGCAGAGTATGACCATATTATCCACATACATTGTGCCCACTCTTCTGTTTTCTGTGGTCACTGCAGATTTTACTTTTGCTTTTGCCCAGTAAGCAGCAGGAACTTCTCTTACCACATTTCTCACCTACAACGTGCACTCTAACTTCCAGCCACTCGCTTTTGGGAAAGAGGTGCATGTGGTATGTCAGAAAATACGGTAACTGCGGACAGCACGAGCAGCGGTACGCTCCCCTGCCCATTCACGGCAGCCCCCGCTGCTCCTCTCCACATACCTGTATCTGTGGATGAGAGCATTGAACATCTTCCCATCGCTCCAGCACGAAGAGAAGTTGGTGCATTTTACTCCGATGTAGCCCGCTGTCACCTTCTGTGTCCAGAGAAGCAGCTTCTCTTTCGCAGACATATCCCCTGACTCTCCACTGATGTAGATGTCGGAGATCTGTCAAGACATGGCATTTTTTTGTATTTATTAGACATATATGCTTCCCTCCCCCCAGAAAAGGGTAGCTTACAATAATAATAAAACAAGATAGATGGGACCAAAGCCTAGTTATACAGGACTATGGCCAGCTGCATGATGCTCTAGAAAGCTCTATCACATACACTACATGGGGGCGCAAGTAGGGAGTTGTGGACGTGCCAGCTTTGAGGTTTATGGCCACATCTGTGAACATGCCTCTGTTCAAACCCCAGGCCTGGGAACGGTGTCTACAGACAGCCAGGTTCAGTAGGCAGCCGCAGCACTTCTGAGAGCGGACTAAAATCACCTGAAAGGAGAGGGCGTAGCAAACACACTAATGCAGGTTGAGAGACGCGATAACCCGGGAGGTCTGAAATGGGACTGTTTCAAAAGATCTGCTACGCGCCTGGTAAACAGCCTCTTCTGCAACGTTTGGGATTCAACTCCCTTCCTTAAGATCCAGGGGCTTCTTTGCTCTCCTCAGGATGGTTTTTGGGAGGGGGGGTCTTTTGGGCAGAACCAAGGGCAAAAGCAGCAGTCATGCTAGCTCAAAACCTCCCTGTTCCTCCCCACGCAGGTCTCATGAGTCCCAGAAGAGGACATGCCCCAGCCACAGCTGCATGGATGGCTCACACACAGCGCTATCCAATGCACAAGGTAAGTGATACCCACAGCCGGGAGGAGAGGCATCTTTAGTGCACCTTTTTAAGTCCTAAGGATCTTACAGGTTCTTCGTACAATTTCTCTAGCCTGGAAACATGATTTCCCCTTCAAGGAGTCAATCCGGCCTACAGTTCCCTGTTATGCATTTCTCCTGAGAGCCAGGAGAGAGCACCTAAGCGCTGCAAGGATGCGGGCTTTGGAAATACCCAACCTGGACCAGGCAGGGTGGGGGAAAGGCACCTGCAGGCAGATGGAGGGACATGCTCCATCCGCCCTACAGTGAAGAGCCACGTGCCACATAGCGCTAGCATTTCCCGGCACTTTACCCTACACCACGTCCAGCCCATCCTGCTGGGAGACAACCTCCGGGAACGTGGATCAATACCCCAAGGCATCTGCAGCATGTGGAGGGAGGGAAGCATCTCTAAGCCTGGCCAGAACGGCCCCGCTTGGCCGGGCGGCCGAGAGGATGACCCAGCTCGAGTCGGCACTGCAGACAATATCCTCCAACCGAAGCTGCCAATTGGCGCGTTTGCTTCCCGGGATGAATCCAGGCAGCTCAGAGCAGCCTCGCCTCCCAGCCTGACTTCACAGAAGCAGCAGGAAATCGCATCTGCCAGAGCAGACGTGGGCAAGGCAGGGCAGCGAGAACAGAAGCCAACTGCAGAAATGGCTCCGTTTCCTCCAAGCTGCCTCCCTGGCTGCTAGAGCGCCTCAGCCCGATTCCCCCGAGCTCCGGCAGCAATGCCCTGGTTGTGGCACAGGACGCCTTGCAAATGAATCCAGGGCAGGCAGCTCTGAGCCACAAGCCCTCCCAGACAGCTGCTGCATCAGGCATGACAAGCCAGACATCTGGACGGGTCGGGGGCTTCCGGGTCTCGCCGTTATTATCGCTCTGACCGCACGGCCGGACAGACCGCCCGGTCCCCCTCCCTGCTCTCCTTCCACCCCCCATGCACTTCACGCGCCTCCCACCCCAGCGTCTAGCACAGCGGTTCTCAACCTTGTCAGGCTCGAGGCACCCCTCAGAAAATGCCAGCTCTTTGTTTTTCCTCCTTTTTTGATCGCAGAAAAATATGAGAGTAATCCTTCTGCTGCAAAGAGCTCAGAAAGCAGGGCAGAATAGCTTCGGTGCTACGCCTTCCTACCTGACATCTCTGGGTTTCTCTTGCTTGCACAGTGCTAACATGGCCTGGGACCCCCACAACACCCTTTAAAGGATCTCGTGGCACCCCAGGGTGACGCAGCAACCTGGTGGAGAGTCGCTGGTCTAGTATTTGGAGCGCTAGGACAGGGACTGCCATTTCCAATGTTGTCGGGACACCAGCCTGTATGACAGGCTCCGGGGTTGACTAAAGCCACTCAGTCCTCTGCCCCAACCCTTGAGCAGACTATGGCTTCTTATCCCATTATTTGAACTAGCTGTTTATTCCGGTGCCCCCTCCAAGGGTTTATTATCATCATCATCATTCAGATTTATCTCCCGCTCTATCGCAAGAGGCTCAGAGTGGCTTACAATAAATGGCAACCCACAGATAAGAAATAACAGCAGATTCCTCCAACCTGCCTCGTTCATCTCAACTAATCTGATCCATCCACTTAGCAGCATCCCCAGCCCTTGTCCCTTTCCCTTCCAAGTAAAATCTTTTTCTTTCCCCCAGTCCCCTCCTGACATTGGGCAAGATAGGTCATTGCCTACATTTGTACTCTCTGAACCCACTCGTCCCTACCCTGCCCTATCTAACGCCCCTGCCCTCAGTGGCAGGTCCTGATGGCATCCAACCCTTTTCCCAGCCTTGTGACTCGGGAGACCACCTCGCCCAGACTGGCTTGGAAGGGACTGCTTGCCTGGTCCACGCGATGGTTTTTAAAAGGCTGCGACGGCCAGCAATAGCGCGTGAAGGTGATTGCCGGCCGCGCCGCGGAGAACACGACCGTGGCATGCAGAAGAGCCGAGCCAATGGGCGGCAGGCGCCGGCTCCGAGGCAACTTTCTGCGGGGGGGCAAGAGGGAGGATGAGCCCATGCCTAGATACACGGTGGGGAGCGGCATCATGACCCAGTTTCCAACGGAAAAGGAGCAACCGGCGGCAGATCCCTTTTAAGCAACACTGTAAGTGCCAGCCGTGCACACGCCAAGGCGCACACAAGGGCGTGTGTGCGCGCGTGCGCGAGAGTACTGTTGATTGATGCAGCCACTCCCCTCCCCAGTTACCTTCTGTTAATTAAGGGGCAGGCAGGAGGGGAGAGCTGAAGCTGCTCGCACTTCCAGGGTGCCAGTGGAAGATTAACCCACCTGATTTGCTTCCGGCTATTTGAGACCCTCAAACCCTTCTTGCTGTAACGTGGGGACCCCTCACCCCTGCCCCCCACCACCCGCCCCGCTTTCGCCGAGCCCCCGGCTGCTTTATTCGAGGAAACCAAAGGAGGGCTCAGCAGACGGCTCCCAGCGCACTGCAGTCCTTCAGGAAGGTGACTGGGAGGGAAACGCTTTCAACTGGTTTCTGCTGCTTGCGGGAAAGAGAAAGGGAGCCGCAGGGCTGGAGCCCTCCCTTTCCTCCCCC